CCCCCCCCCCCACCGCTACTCACGAGTGTGTGATCTCACATGTGCTGCATGTGTCGCCCTTGCCCGCATCGTAATTTCCAGAAGCAGCTTCTGAATGGTGTGGAAGGCGTTATTCTTCTGTCTTATTTCTAGATACCTGGGGAATTCTATGTTTATATGTTTTGATATGAGATGTTAGATATTCCCACTGCCACTTCCCAGAAAAGACCCCACTGTGTGTCGTAGCCCTTCCCAGACTCTGTGTACGCAGATACCTGCAGAAGCTTTTACTGGTGTCATGGTCAATGTCCAGGAAAAGAGGAGCGTCCTACAGTTTACACGGCAAAGCACCTAAACCAGACTGAGTTGATCCAATCACCTGCACGTCACCCCTGTTTTCATCCTTCATTCCTGAGGGACAGATGTATACTCTGCCACATGGCCTGCTGTCCAAAATGTCCCTAGATAAGCATCACCGTCCTCACTACTTGGGAGCTCGTTGGAAATCTGGACTCCTGGGCCTACTGAATTTGGGTCTGCATTTCAACGAGACCCCTGGTCAATCCAAGGCACATTCCAATTTGCACAGCACTGCCATGGTGGCCATAAAACCCGTGCTACCTTGTCTGGGTCTGGTTACCAGGGACCAGAATCTAACTGGCAGACAAGATGTTGAAATTTAAATAGCATTGCAAAGGTCAACTAAAAAGATAAGGATACCGTTCAGAAGTGGATAAAAAGTTGTAAGCTTATGTAACCAGAAAATTAAAATCCTATGTTCCAGGAACCATGCTGGAGACCAGAGTTCCAAGGGGAGGGGAGGACCCTGGCTCCAGGGCCATACCTCTTGAACCTGGCCTCCACCTCCACGGCCTGGGGTGGAGGGACCTGGAGACGGGCCATTGCAGGGGCAAAAACACAGATGCACGAACAAGCAGGGCGTTTGTTTGGTAAACACCATGTTGCTGTAGATAAGGAGCCAGACTTCCACCTGTAAGGTAGGACGAGGTAAGGAACAGTTCCGAGGTGGCAGATAGGAGATTAGGAAAACAGGGGCTTAGCCTTGGAGAGGGAGATGGTGTTAAGCAAACAACATTCTGCTGAGGCAATCCGAAAGATTCTGTTGGCTTTATTCATCAATTTATGAATGAAGCAGCCTCTTGTCTAGCAGAAGAAAGGAGCTCAGAGGAACTAGGCAAAATGAGACTTTTATAGCCAGGAGGGAGAGGGAACAAGGAGGCTACACTAGACAAAAATCGGTTGGATATGGCCAAGTCACTTTCCTTTAGGGAATGGCAGGGGTCGGTCAGGCAGATGCCCTGACTGGTTTAAGACACCATTTCTGAGAGAGCCGAAGTTCGGTGAAATCTGTTCTGTGACGTGGACCTTAGCGTGAGTGACTCCATTTGGGGCCTATTTTCTTGTTTTCAACATGTCCCTCCTTTTGATCCGATTCTCAGCCTGAGATGGGATCACAACTTAAGGCATTAGGGCCGCTTCCCTCTAAAGCTCGGGAGTTCTCGTGGTCTTTTGCCAAATGTCTGTGTGGTATTCACGGGTCGTGACATCAGGTTCGTTCTTTCCGTCGGTCATTCTCTTTGTTCCTTTTCTGAAGTTCTGTTCTTAGGGGGATTATTTGCTAGGTGGTTAATGGCTGCGAACATGGATTGAAACCTTTTGAGGAAAAAAAAAAGAGAGACAACTGTCATTATAGCAGGATCGTGCCCACTGTCTGGAGTGCACATTTAAAAAAATTTTTTTAACGTTTATTTTTGAGAGAGAGTGCACGTGAGTGGGGGAGAGAGAGAGCAGGACACAGAATCCGAAGCAGACTCTGAGCTGTCAGCACAGAGCCCGACGCGGGGCTCGAACTCACGAACTGTGAGGTCATGACCCCAGCAGAGGTCGGACACTTAACCAACGGAGCCCCCCAGGCGCCCCTCAAGTGCACTTTGGAGCCGTGGTCCCCAAGACCCCACTGAAAGAGTAGCTTTCTTAAGTCAGCTGGCTTGTGTAGTGATCTGGTGTAGCGGCGTATCAGCTCCCCCAGAAGCATCTATCCTAGGAATTACTGGTAGGTGGCTATTGCTTTAGCAACGGATTCTGCAACATCTTCAGGAGTGCAGGAGAGGTTCCTAATTGTAGCCTCATTTGCACTTACTCCTGTCTAGGGGTTCTGTCAAGGGAAGCAAACTTTGAATATGAATCCTTCATGCTAATTCCTATTTAAGGCTTGGGACTCCCAAGAGCACCACCATGGAGACCAGTAAAACTTGAGGGGCTGTAGACCCCCCAGGTGG